ATGAATAATTTAGTTGAAAGTGTTAAATTGATTTTGCCCTTTTACAACACTGCGCCTCCAACATCGGAGATGAAGGCAATGCCGGCTTGATTGTCAGCGCTGATGGGCATTTCCACAGCGACCCACCGACCCACCAACCCACCGACAACCCTCACCTGGCAGGCCATTAAAAGCAGCTTAAGGGGTTGCAAATCATAGTGAACTCTGCATACGCATTCAAGTCAAGAGTATTGCAGACGCAGTTACGCAGTTACTTCAATTTATGCCGTTAAACCCATGTTATAGAGCTGGTTAGTGAAATGTGGGTAGAGCACTTCAAGGGGCAGAGCATCTCCCATGTTGTCTGACACTCACTCGTGTCGTTATTTAAGCGCATATGCATATCATTTAATATGCTAGCTGGGTTGAGCTTGAAGAGTCCTAAATTGGTTATAGAAGTCAAACCTAAATGAAAAACTCAGCAGGGAAACTGGGTCTGGGGAGGCTAAAGGAATATTTAAGCAAGGAAACTAAGTTTGTAGAGGCTAAGGGAATATTTCGATAGGGAATTTACGTCTGTGAAGCCTATGCAAAGTTTCAGTAGTTAGAACTTTTAAATATTTGATTTTTTCAGTCTCGATATCTCCCTTTATACCTCTATCTATCTCTCTCTCTCTCTCTCTCTCTCTCTCTCTACTCTATCTATCTCTCTTTATCCCTCTATCTCTTTCTCTATCTCCTTCTCTCTCTCTCTCTCTTTCTCTCTCTCTCTCTATTTCCCTCTCTCTATCTCTCTCTCCCTTTACGCTTTACCTTAACCCAATGCCTTGGCTTTCGCTTCATTAGGCAACGTATATAATTCTTACATTAGCTTCTGCTAAACCAAGTCCACAGCTTCTCCGGCCATCGCGAACAGATTTTCTCAATCGATTTGCCATAACTTAACTAATTTTCGCTCTAATTTCTCCCTATAGAACTATAACTCAAATTCTAAGCGCTTCCGCACAACTTCGACAACTTTGGCAGAGCTCACACGAGCTTCAGCTTGTCTCTCCCTCTCTCTCTCTCTCTCTCTCTCTCCCTCTCACTCTCCGCTCTGCTGATTAATTTGCCCTGTAGATTGTTAGCATTTAGCAAAAGTTGAGCATTTCGTATCCTGCAGCCGTCCTGGCAGTCCATTATCCTGCTGTAAGCAACACCTTTTCCTAATCAGGCTGCAAGGCAATTGCGCGCAGTTAGTTTTCGATGGTTGACCACATTGGCATTGGGCATTGGATGTCTCCGTTTCTTGTAACATGTCCAATGGCCACGCCCACTTCAGCTTGGCTTCACTAGCTCAACGCCCCGTGTCTGACGTCATTTGTCAAAAATTGACCGTGTGCGGGGGCGGGGCGAAGGTGCCCCAACCTTTTACTAGATAGACACACACACACACATCGAGTCCACCTTTCACCCCACTCGGCCCCCCACCCAGGCCTGCTCTGCGGTCGTCGTCGTGGCTAATATTGACATTCCTAATCTGTGCAGCGCTGTGTGTTGGCCGTTAAAATGCCGTGTCACATCGTTAGTATGCGTGTGTGGTTCCATTTGTTGAGGTCGCCTTGGCCTGATCAGCTGGGGACTGGGGACTGGGGCTGGGGAGCATTTCGAATCGAGTTCCGCCAGCTCGCCTTTGTATTCCTCATTTGTCGGCGCTGGGTGTGTTTTCTTTTTGATTCATGCCGCGCTATCAGCACTGGGCGTGTTTCCAGCAAATACACAAAATTACAACTATACACAAATATATATATATGTACATTTATATATGTGTAGAGATGTGTCTTTGATGATGACATTGCAGAGTCGAGCCAGTGGGCAGTTTATTAGCTTAAGTAGCTGCCTCATTGGCAGTGATTAGCGCCGGAGTCGAGCAAGGCAGCAAAATGCTGGCGGGCGCTGTTCCTCGTATCGCTGCAATTTTGTGCGTCATCTCTGCTGAGCGAGACTGTGGATAGGGTTGGAGTTGGAGTTGGAGTTGGAGTTGGGAGTCGCGAGCTGTGCCTGGACGTCATGCTGTTACTTTCTTGCAGCGCACTCAACTTGACGGCTTTTGTTTGTTCTTGGTTTTTCTCTTTTGCTGCAAATTGTTAGCAGCTCGCCCGCAGCGAGCCAGGCCCAGAGCCAGACCCAGACCCAGACCCAGACCTCTGGCATGTATTTGCCCAACCTGTGTAAAGTGCAGCTCAGACAAATACACACACACACACACACACAGAGTGTGTGTAGGACTACTCTAGGGCAGACGGCCAAGCTGGCAGCCCGGCAGGAACACGGGCCAAAAGCGATTTGCCTTGCCAAAAGCTGCATGACTAACTTTGTAGTTGTACCTCTATTTCACTCACTGTCTCTCTCTCTCTCTCTCTCTCTCTCTCTTGCTCTTGCTCTTGCTGGTGCGACAACACAAGTGTTTTAATTTTACGACATTGTATGAATTTTACTGCTGGCACAGCAGAAACATCAGCACCGCTGTTACATATCGTTAGCTTCCTTAACGGACGTATCCCACATCTTCCAGCCGTCTGTTGCCACGCCTCCATCCAAAACCACTCGACCGCCTCGCCCGCTCCCTCTCCCTCTCTCTCTCACACTCCCTCGCGCTGTGTGCAGCCCTGCAGCCTGTTGTCTGTGTGCTCATAAATTGCAGCTAGCAAGCTTCAGTGCAATCAACGTCATCAGCTTCATCCGGCCCTACAGCTGCAACAAAAAACCCATGAAACCATGGGCCCAAAAAGAGAGCCCCCAAAAAGATAAAAAAAAAAAATAATGGTATAAAATGTGTTTAAAAACCGCACAAATTTCGCAACCAACTGCCGAAAGTGGCAGAGGAAGAAATGTTTAACGAACCCCGTCCTAACTGTAGAGTTCATCAAGTGAATCATTCGATTCATTATCAATTGAACTTGATTTCTAATTGAGCCCAGCAAATTGGAAGTGAACAGTGCGCAGTTTAGCACTGGAATAGAACCAGTTCTTGAACTAGGGATTGAATTTAAGTAAAATATTGGAAAAGAACCGGTTCTAGACTTTAAGTAAATTACAGGAATAGAACTAGATCTTGAGCTAGAGCTGAAGTCCAAGTAGAATGCAAAAATAGCACTAGTTCTTGAGCTAGAGTTTGAATTTAAATGGCTTTTTAGTATTATATAACAATGAAACTAGTTCACGAACCAGTATTCAATTTAAATATCACTAAACAAAAGTGAGTAATAAAAAAAGTTACACACATTTTTTGTTGCTTCACAAAGGGAATCAGTTCCTGGAACGAGCTCACAGCTAGCCTTGTAACTATTAAAAAAGTTTGAGCAGAAGTTAAATTAATTAAAAMACTAAGACGTAATTACAATTTTTATAAAAAAAATTAAATAAATAAATAAATTTGTTATAACAAGTAAGAAGGCTCCAGTCGAGACTGCTCGACTAGGAGATACCCTGAACCCTCCAAGCTGATATTCTAATCAGTCTGGACTTCTTTTATGCACACATACATACACRTGCACTTATAAGCRCGYGSTCTGCTGACTGCGCAGTTAGCAGCGACTGCGCTTGGGCTGCACTGCAGTGTGGGCAATATTATGAGAATTTATTTGTTGAATAATTTCTTTTGTAGACATACGATCTTAATGAAACTTTCAGAGCGTAATCATATGGTTAAAATATGTGTACATTCCAAAGCACAAGTCTCTAGTACTTGAAATGCGTTTTTTACAAATTGGGGGAGAAGGGGGCGTGGTATCCAAAATCTGTAAATTACAAAATCTTTGTATCCATTAACTTTATATACAACCCAAATTTGAAGTCTCCAGGTCTAAAAGTGTTAAAATTANGCAAACTTGTACTGCCTATGGTATACACGAGTATGCATGCCAAATTTCAGCTCTCTAGCTCTTATATCTTCTGAGATCCTTTTGCTCATACGGACGGACGGACGGACGGACGGACGGACGGACGGACGGACGGACGGACGGACAGACGGACAGGGCTATATCGACTCAGCTCGTCGTCCTGATCAAGAATATATATACTTTATGGGGTCTGCGATGATTCCTTCTGCCTGTTACATACTTTTCACAAAACCATTATACCCTGATTTCCCATTTTCAATGGGTTCAGGGTATAAAAAATAATCCGTTCCTGAAACTGAACTAAACATTGTAGTGTTTGATGAATAATTCAGCAGTTAACTAAAATGTTTAAATTAATTTTTATAGTTTTTTAATGAAACAACACCAAATATAAAAACATGGTTTATTAAAGTTTTGATTGCTTGCAGTAAATAAGCCAACATTTCCTGGCAGTTACAAAGAATTTTGAATGCAGCACTAAGAAATGCTAGCTGTTCCGCAAATGAACCAGTTCTCGGAACTGGCTGGCAAATCGTTTGCTCCACTGTCGCTTAACTGCCGTCACTTAACGTTAACAGTTTACGCTTGCCTGCGGGCTAAAAAGGCTGGCGTTGCAGTACACACACACACACACACGTATAGAGAGAGAGCCGTGCACTCGGCGCGCCATCATTTTTGGTGCTGCTGTTGCGCTAACTGCGTAAAGTTGGCACTTGAAACTGTCAGCTTAAATATGCCAGCTGCACACACACATAGAGATACACACACACACATGTGCGGCTACTACATAAAGTGCACAAAATGGTCGACGCATAGCGAAAGTTGTTGCCGTAAGTTACAGAAGCAGCGACTCTTACGGCTCCGCGCAGTCTGGCGGGCCATAACTTTGGGTAACATGGAGCACCACTCGCCCTCAACCCCTCCCCCCTGTGGGGCTTGCTCCTGATCCGATTTCCTTTGCCTTTGCCTTTGCCTTTGCCAGCTACCATAAATGCATTTTTAAATGCCAGGCTACAGCTAAATTAAGCAGCATTTGCCACTTGCGCTTTACGCGCTCATTCGTTCGTTCATTTATGCTGATACTTTATCACAATTTCTATCTCTCTCTCACTCTCTCTCTCTTTCTTTATTTTGTTGCAGATGGTGACGAGAACGAAGAAAATCTTTGTGGGCGGCCTCTCGGCGCCCACCACGCTAGAGGATGTCAAAAGCTACTTTGAACAGTTTGGTCCGGTAAGTAAAACCCATTAAAGTGAAATGAGAAAAAAAGAAACTGAATAAACACAAGCGAACTAGTTCTTTTGTACCAGCGGCAATAAAGCAACGTCTGCCAACTTGCCAAATAATAATAATGCAAATGAAAAATCCGAATGACAGTTGCCGAAAAACGAATCATGCAATTTATGCGCACTGCGCGTGTTGCCTCCAAAGAGCTCAGATATATACATACCTATATATGTATATATATGTATATACATTGTATATATATGCAAGTGCTGAGCAATGACACCTTCACTAGCTGCCACTTGCCAGCGTTTGTTTGATCAATAAAAATGCCAAAAAAGAAAGCTGAAAAAAAATCATATTATATATGTATAC